GGCAAGGTACGCATTGTGCAGCATCCCCGCCGACTCCGTTGGCCCCATTCCGTGACGTGGCCCCGGCGGGACCGATAGCCCACGTCACACGGCTGTCAGCGCCCTCTGTCACTGCCTGGTCCGCACCTCCACGCGCAGCGTAACGGTGCGTTACCGCCGATCACGGCGCTCCAAATTCAGCCAGCAGGTGTGCAGGATGGAACGAAGTCCATGCTACGAAAATCCTGGCTCACCAGCGGCCTCAGCACGCAGATCATTGGAGCCAATCCGTCGCTCTTAACACTTGATTCGGGCTTTCTACAAGCGATGTCCCGCAAGTTCACAATCGTCGAACCCTTTCATCGTGTCTTCTGCAGCGGACATCGCGGCAACAGATCAATACCTTACTGGACCGCCGCGTCTCCATCACAGCCGGCGTCGTCGGTCTCAGCTGCAGCCGAGCGCGAGCGCTCCGATACACACACACCCCGAGCGGCCCCGGTGGGCGGCGATGCGCACGAGGCATCCGCGGACGTCCGGCTCAGTGGCCAGATGTATCAGTGGCAGTATCCGTCTTTGATATGGCACCATCTTCCGTTCAGTGGCCTTGCATGTTCTCGTATCAACATTATAGAAACAGGGGCACTGGCACATGAGGTCACGCACCCAAGTACACATAGACATTAATCGAGCTATAACGGGATTAGGGGACGCTTCAACCCATCCCCAAACACTCCCTGGGACCTCCACACGATATCGATGGGGAGTGACCGATCCCTAAACACTCCCTGGGACCTCCGTATGATATCGAAGGGGGGAGACCGATCTTTAAACACTCCCTGGGGTCTCCGCACAATATCGATGGCGAGAGTGTCAATGGCGATGGCGAGAGCTCAAGGTGTCCGTCGCGCGACAAGTAACTCGTCGCCCACCCATCTCAGCTCTAATTTTGGTAATGTCCAGCTTGAGCTCTTGCCTGGCGCCCCTCCGTCGAACGGGCTGCCGTTCAGTGAGGTGCCTTACAAGGTCATCCAGCTACCCGCACGTCAAGATCAGTCTATCAGGCCGGGTAACCTCTCACGATTGCGCAACACGTTGAGACCATGGTCGCGCTCGCATCGATCTAAGATCACGCGAGAGCACATACCATCATAATCTTCTGCATGCACGACGCGAACGTGGCACTCAGGTTCCCTCACACGGCGATACAACACCTGACGAGGGGCCACACCAATCCGCTGACCACAGCCGGCGGTGCACCGCTGCGGACAGCGTGCTTTGCATGGCGAAGACCGATCAGAAGCATAGTGAATGTGGCCGCTATCTGATTAACAAGGGGGTCAATGGCCCGATGACGGTCCGTAATCAGGTCTAGGTTTTTCACGCCTCACGTTCTCGTACGGCGGCATCGTCTCCTATAACGCGATTTTCGGCAGGTCACGGACCACCTCGCGGACTCCCACGAATAGAGTTAAGCTTTGCTGGAATTGGACCGCAGCTGATGTGGCTAGTACTGTGCTGAGTGTTCATAGCGGCCTCAATACGACGGATCAGATAAGCCGAGCGAGAATTTTCCCGTGATCAGAGCCTCGGTGTGGTTAGAATACTGTGCAATGCTTGAGTCGCAGCCAAGAAACGTGCCCAAATCACTGGAAAGCGCAATACACAGCAGATGGCCGATACGCGAGCTACGAATAGCTACACGAGCCACAGACACTATGCGAGCCACGAATAGGGTTTTGCCAGGGCTCAGATACTAACTCTTATACGTGTGGATATGCAAAGTTGGCTTGTTAGCAGTGGCCCGCAAGATAGCTCCGAAACTAAAAACCGTCGACGCCGCAGAGCTCCAGTTTATCGGCCAACTTTACGAGATCGATGGCATCCAAGCACCTCCTCAAGTCCAAAAGCACTTAAGGATAGCACAAGGATAACTTTATTTTGATCCAGAGCCCCCAGGATACGACACTTGCGCCAATGAAAACGGTTGGCTGAATAAAGCAGACAAAACCCGTGCTGCGTAGCGGAAAGAAAGTGGCGGAGGTGAAGCATAACTAGAGATGATTGTAAACGATGCGTTCGATGATTTTGGCACGGCATGGAACAAGCGCCCTAAGCCTAGTTTGATTGGTGGGTCTCTCAGACATCCCGCAGATCTGTAAATCGGTTGAACAACGGAGAGCTCAAGTCACGAATCAAGTGCGATACAGGTTATCAAGCTGGCGCTAATGAGACTTAGTCGGCTCCGCTGACCCGAGGTGCACTCCTCTGATGCAGACGACCTCGGCCGGCCGGTGGGCGTGCGGGTCAACTCGGCTCACAGTGTCGGCGCCCCGCTGCGTCGTGCCGCTCGGCCGCTGACACAGCTAGGTCATGAGGTCGTCCCTCGCCGGCTCGACCGACGCTCCTGCACCAGGCGTGAAACGCGCCGGCCAGCCGCCGCCAAGCCGTCAGTCTGTTTGTGGGTCGTTAAGCGATGCCTCTGTCAGATGTCACAGTAAGCATCGCGCTCGCACCCGTTGCAAACACAGGCGCCGTTTAATGCAGGAGCTGAGTGCTCGTTCCTAGCCATCCTTCGCGAATGGCAGAACAAGAGCTGCCGCCAGCCGTCCAGCCACAATCGCCGCCGTCTGCCCGGGACGGCCTGGCGTCGGCCGTCATCCGACGTCACACCCCGCTAAACACCGGCCACAGGCGATTAGCGGCCGGCATTCGGGCGGCGCCATGGCGACGGGGGTCACGGGGCTGCGTCCGACCACGGCCGGACCGCGCGACCCGCCGCGCGGCATGGCCCGGAGCAGCAGGCACAGCATCGGGCGGCGGGCGGGTACCGACCGTGTTTGGCTGCAGAACGAATGCTGGGGAGTAGCTGTAGCCGAGGTCAGCCAAATACGGCAGACCTGAGAACGCCGACGGCGAGCCGAAAGCGCATCAATCAACCGGCATTGGGTAATGGAGGTGCACGTGGCGTAAGCAGTCAGAATGCCGAATGCATGCAGCTAGGGGTGGTCCAGGCGCCACTGCTGCCTCTGAGAATGAGATCGCGCCCCGGCCTCGGTCCAGATGGGCCTGGCGGCGCGCTCTCGCCGTGTTCTGTTTTCTGTCCACGGGGCGATATTAGTGGCGAGGCCGGGGGACCTGTCCTGCACACGCGCCCGCACGCAGCCAGGCGAGTCGGCGGTGCTTGCAGAGGCTCTGGCACCGAGGAGGGAGACGATACGGCTCTAGCATGTGTGCTTCTGTCGCGCACTCGCTCTGTTGCCCAGGCCGGCGACCAGCGCTCCGGCCGGCTGCCGGCAGTGCGCGAGGTCCGACGAGCCAGCGGCCGTCGGCGGCGCCGGCCGCTGAGCCGCTTGCTGGACCAGGAGCGCCTCCGGCCGCCAGACAGCCCGGCCGGCCCGCGGCCGGGAGCCGCCGCCGGCCGCCGCAGCCGGCCGCTTCTCACGGCACGTCAGCGGCGCGCGCCGGACAGCTGACGGCGGGCGACCGGCGCCGGGCCGGGCCGGCGCGACCAGATCCCACCGACGGGGCACACGACCAGGGGCTGTGTCGGACCCCAGCATACGCACGAGCTGGGATTGTGATGTGTCCGACCCCAGCACACACACGAGCTGGGGCTGTGATGTGTCGGACCCCCGCACACACACGAGCTGGGGCTGTGATGTGTCCAATCCCAGCACACACACGAGCTGGGGCTGTGATGTGTCGGACCCCCGCACACACACGAGCTGGGGCTGTGATGTATCGGACCCCAGCATGCAGGGGCTGTGTCAGACCCCAGCATACGCACGAGCTGGGATTGTGATGTGTCCGACCCCAGCACACACACGGGCTGGGGCTGTGATGTGTCGGACCCCCGCACACACACGAGCTGGGGCTGTGATGTGTCCGACCCCCGCACACACACGAGCTGGGGCTGTGATGTGTCCGACCCCAGCACACACACGGGCTGGGGCTGTGATGTGTCGGACCTCCATCCGACAGCACACGCCAGCCGTGACCACATCGCCGCGGCATATCTGGGACGAATGGTCTTAGGACAGATATATCAAACGGCACGGCGCTGGATGGAGAGCGGATGCGCCTCCGTCTCCAGATGGCGATTGGCGATGGGTCTATTACGCGCGCAGCGGTGTCCAATTTGTCCCGCTTCAATTAACGATTCAGCGCACCCTTAGACACGGAAGCACAGATAATTGGACGGAATTCACCTCATCTCCAGGAGGGAATTCCTCCTTAAGATTCCGCCGATTTAATAGCACTGTGAAGTGAGTGAAAATCGATTGTTTGGTGCCGCGCCCGGAAGAGTCCGGAAAAGAAGCACAAAAGGCTATCGACCGAAACGCGACGGTGGGATGAATAGTGAGAGCACCGACAGGAGACACGAAAGGAGGCTGCGGAAAGCAAGGAATCATGCAGTACGCAAAGATGGCAGGAACAAAAAGAGAAAAATGTCACAAGGATGACGGCGAGACAGAGAAATGAACGGAAACTAAAAGAACGGTGGACGTACTTATGGAAAGCGCGCGGGAATGACTACCAGATCCTTACATGGCAAAACGGGACGGAAGGCCAAAGAGATAGCCGGCGACGAGAGGAATCAAACTTATAACCCTGTTAACCCTAAATGAACGGGCCCATTTGCGCGCAGCAGGCTGATAAGAGAAACCACAAATACACATCTGAGTGTGACAAACGGCCTTGTTTGTTACCGGATGGTGTACTGATCGTGAAAAGGTTGCACCGGCGAACCTCACGGAGAAAGCGACCGCGCGTCAGCGATCGCGCCTCTCCGTGGCGTCTGCCGACTGTACCGACCGTGCTCGAGCAGCGGCCGGCGGCCCCTGTCCCCGGTCATCAGCATCGGCCAACCCGGCCCTCCCTACCGTCACCCGGACCTGCCGCGGCCAGCAACCCCTGCCCCTGCTCGAGCAGCGGCCGGCGGCCCCTGCTCTCGGTCACGCAGCCCACCCTGCCGTCCCTGCCGCCACCCGGACCCACCGCGGCCAGTGGCCACCTACCCTGAATCAGCTGTCGGATGCGCGTGGTGACGGGCGTCGAGATCTCGGCCAGCAGCGTGAGCACGTCCCGGCCGTAGCCGTCGCGCAGGGTCGTGTCGATGCCGGCGGCCAGCAGGCAGCGCACCACCTGGCGGGAGGGGGGGGGGGGGGGCGTCAGTCACGCACGGAGCAACGCTCGGCCCAGACACCGGGCTGCCTCCCCGCCGGACCGGACCAGACCGGCGGGGACGAGCCGGGCAGTGGAACAGGCCAGCAGCGGCGGCGGCGCAGTGGGGACTGGGCGGTCACGCAGAGTGCATTATCTCGGCCCACGGGGGATCCGGCGCCGCGCCCGGTGTCGACGCCGTCTGACCTGCGTCGGTGTGCGAGACCCCGGACGATATTGACGGCAAAGGTGGGAAACGCTGGCAAAAGTCCATGTACAAAGTCAACCGAAACAGGCATCGTTCAATGACAAATATTAAAATAAACGTGACCTCAACAAAAGGCGGTGTGGTCGCTGTCATAACTGGCATGCCGATTTTCCACCCATGGCCATAAAGCGTACTAGGATCTAATGCCTAAATCGTGATATTCAGTCCATCCTGATTCGCTCACGACTCGTACAATCCCACGTATTCGGTGCGGCCGGCATCGTGCGCCGCAGGCCATAAAGTCCCCTGCGCTCAGGTGGCAAACGACCCCGCAGCATCAACGATCCCGCATGGCCATTGCTTCCGTTACCAACCCTCTACCCTACGGAGTAATACGCTGCACATGGGCTGCGCCGGTATCTGTCCCACCAGGCGCGTGCGCGGAGGCGAGCCGTGCGAGGGCCGGACATACCTCGACCTTGCCGCAGAGCGCCGCCTCGAACAGGGCGGTGCCGGCCGGCGTCACGCTGTTGACGTCCATCCCTGAGTCGAGCAGCAACTTCACCACGGCCCTGCCGCAGACAGAGCCGATCGTCAGCCAACGCAGTCGGTCGGCGGGACAGCGGCGGCCGCTGGCAGACCAGATCGGTGCAAGCCAGGTCAATGCCAGGCCACAACGGCGCCAGGTCTCACCGGCGCCAGGCCAGACCGGCGCCAGGCCAGACCGGCAGCACGCCTGACCGGCACCAGACCAGACCGGCGGCAGGCCAGGCCGGTGCCAGGCTCGAAGGCAAGCAGGCCGCACGGTTGGACGGACGAGCCGAGGGGAAACGGACAGGATGTCAGCTGACAGACCAACTATATGTGAGAGGGAAATCTGGGGAGATCTGTAAAATGAACGCATATATCACAGGAAACGTTCGACACGCGAGATCTGAGGATATCGCGCGAGATCTGAGGATATCGCGCGAGATCTGAGGATATCGCGCGAGATCTGAGGATATCGCGCGAGATCTGAGGATATCGCGCGAGATCTGAGGATATCGCGCGAGGTGTGGGACCGCCAAGGCTACAAGTTTCGGAGCACGATCGCACGACCTCGTGCCCAGGCCAGACACAGGCCGGCATGTCTGAAGCGACATGCATCACAAGCGACGAGTCGCAGCGGCCATCACAGACAATTGGCCGGTCCGCAGTGCCAGGAATGCGTCTCCTGCGGGCGAGACGGACCGGCCACGCGGCAGAGGCGGCACGCCCGGTGCCCCGGCGGCGGCGACCGACGCGCCTGACCGCCGTCGCCGCCGCCGCCGGAGCCGAAGGAGCCGCCGGCGGTGCGCTAACGGCCGGCGCGGCGGCGCCGACAGCTGCCGGACACGTCCCGGCGCGGCGCGTCACCTGGCGCCGCCATACGCCCCGGCTGGCTAAGCGCCGTCGTCTGGCGTTACGCCGCCGTCCGACAGGCAGCGTCCTAACGCCAGGCTGTCCGGCCGGCTGGCGTCCGTGACAGCCTGGCGCCGCGGCACGCCCGCGCCCCGCCCACCGCTGATCAAGGGAGCTCGGAGCTCGGGGGACGGGGTCACGTGATGTCACTGAGCCCGCAACGCCGTGTGATGACCCAGGCCCGTTGCGAGACGTTAGCCGGTCTCGGTCCAAAGCCCCTCCGACCCTATACTTCGATGTCCATAATTAGATCTGACTGTGCCGAGTGTGGCGCTTTATGTGGAAGAGGTTTGGCGACACACCGCAGAGCCTGCCCAACGCAGTCCGTGGCGTCACGGCCAGACCTGACCCAGACCAGACAGACCAGACCAGAAAAGGCCGCCTTCAGACGCCGGCCGTGTGCTCTAGCCGGCCGCGCCGACCCAGGCGGCCCGCCGTCCATCGCCCGTTCCGGCCCCGCCCCGGGGCAGGATCGATGACACAAACTCATCTCGGCCGCCCTCGGCGGAGCGCGGCCCGGCCGCCGGCGGGCCACCCCTCCCCTGACAGTGGGGGGAGGCGCTGCGGTGAGCAGCAGCCGACCGACGCCGTCCGGGGTCATGGTGCGGGCGCCGCGCCGCCTCCCAGCCGGCGTAACCGCCCCGAATCACGCCGCAACAACGCGTCCGCTCGCTCCGGTGCTGCCGTTCCGCCGCCGTGCCGTACCGCTCGGCCGAGCGGCCGGCGCCGGCGGCGCGTGGAGGAGCCGCCGCGCTCCAGCCGGCCTTAACACGAGCGCGGCCCGGCGCCCATATTAGGCGGAACGAGCCACGGCCGGTCCCAACTGACAGGTGATGAGCTGTGATAATGGGAGCGGATTAGCGTCGGGACGGCAGAGGTTCCGGTCCAGTGGGACGCTGTGCAGGTCAGTCCTACTGCGGCCGCAGTCAGGTGGGGTAGGCGGTGATTACAGGCGCATGGAAGGGAAGGGCACGGTGCTGGAGATTAGGCGTGACTTCTGTAGCAGATATGGGGAAGCAGATACCCTGCGATGCATTCCGTCACACATGAAGATGCTCATGGGTGTATGGTTCGAATGGTGGTGTGTGGGGTGTGTTCTCCAGCCTATATGACAGAGCGGGCGAGGGCACACACGTAACGAGTCTCATGCCATAGTACGGATAAAATGCATGCCAGCGTAATCACGTGGAGGTCACAGCACAGTCACACGCCCCGAGGTAATGACTCTGACCCAGTGACACACCACACATCCGTTTTCCGGTCCCTTCTGGTTCCCTAATGCCCGCCCCTCCGCCCCCCCCCCCACACACACATACACTATGTTCAACCCCCCCATTCTCCACTCGCTTTGATGATCCGTCGATATTCCCCGCATGCCCGGCTCCCTGACCGGCCGCCGCCGCCGCGCCGGTCGCCGTGCGCACCTGTGGCCGTTCATGGCGGCTGAGTGGAGCGGCGTGTGCGGCAGCCGGTCGTCGCCGGCCGCGGTGCCCGGCCGGTACGGCTCCAGCAGCGAGTGTCGCACGCGCACCAGCAGCTCGACGGCCTCCAGCCGGCCGTACTGGGCGGCCAGGTCGAGCGGCGTCTCGCCGCGGCAGTTGGGCACGGCCGCGTCGCAGCAGTGCTCCAGCAGCAGCCGCACCACCGGCGTGTGGCCGTACTGGCAGGCCGAGTGCAGCGGCGTCTCGTGGTCCTTGTTCTGCCGGGCAGAACAGAGGTCAGGGCAGGCAGAGGTCAGCGCCGGCGACGGCACGCACCTCGGCCCGGCACCCCTGACACCCGGTCAGCCCGGGCGCTTCTGGTTAATGACGCCGGTCGTCGCCGTCAGAGCCAGACGTCTGATACACGGGCAGACTCAACGGCGGTGAAACCACGCGGCTGTACAAACTCACCGACGCAGCAGACTCTGCGTCAAACAACTCCAGACAGCGGCTGCACGCATACGATAGCGTCCTACAAAAACAAACGCAAGAGCTGAAGGACAGAGAAGGGCTTTGCAAGCATTCAAGGTGGCATAACGCCTTATGTTGTGCGTCGGTGTTACAAATGCTCCATCGCCAATAAAGACAAAGGAAATGTGGGACTGTTGACGAACCGTGTACAATGACCGAAAGTAAGTACAATTTAAGTACTGTACGGAAGTCAGTACTTAAAGTAAGTATTGTACGGAAATTGTAGCGTCATTGGCTCGACACGGGAGGACAACTAAACAAGAGACCATCTTCCCAAGCGTGAAGCATACATACGTAGCAGTGTTCAGTCAGACTAGATAGGATCCAAGGTCAAACACCTGAAGCCCACCCGCGCCCCCGCCCCCGGCGGATCTCGGTCCCGACTGACGGCACGGCTTCCACCCGAGCGCAGGCCCAGGCAGCCGCGGCCCGGCAAGAGCGTCGCTGTCGCTGCCCGGCCGCCGGCGAGGGACGCATGCACCACTGACACCGTGTCAACGCCGGCCACCCGGCTGGCGCGACCCAGATCGTGCCCAGCCCGCCGGCCAGCTGAAACGAGCACCCGGCCGACCACCGGGACCAACCAGCCAGAGAGCCTGCCGACCGGACCTCCGGAGACGGGCGGAACGCCGGCAGGTCTGGCGACTGCCGGGAAACACCGTTCGGGAGTACCACCACGCGGACAGCGAGATCTCGGCCAGGACGGCGACGGACAGATCGACCTCCGGGCAGCCACGCCGGCCGGGCCACTGGCGGGGAGGTTCACACGACAGCATGCACGGACTCGTGCACCACGGCCGGCCGACCAGGAAAGGTCGGCATCTGTCGCGAGACGTTCAACAAACAGCAGCCTGGCGAAACGGGCAGCGGACGAAGCCCCTGGCTGTGAAAGGAGACAGTCCGGCGCCTCCGCCCGACCCGGAGCGCCCGCGGCCGGCCAGCCGTCAGCCGTCAGCGGCTCCAGCCCTGGTCCGGCGCCGCCGCCCGGCCCGGAGCGCCCGCGGCCGGTCAGCCGTCAGCCGTCAGCGGCTCAAGCCCTGGTCCGGCGCCGCCGCCCGCCCGCGGCCGGTCAGCCGTCAGCCGTCAGCGGCTCAAGCCCTGGTCCGGCGTCGCCGCCCGGTCTGGAGCGCCCGCAGCCGGTCAGCCGTCAGCCGTCAGCGGCTCCAGCCTGGTCCGGCGTCGCCGCCCGGTCTGGAGAGCCCGCAGCCGGTCAGCCGTCAGCCGTCAGTGGCTCTAGCCCTGCTGCAGCCAGGCGCGCCACGGACAAACAGCTGTCCGTGCTGCGACGGAGCGGAGCCAGCCGTTCGCCGGCTGGCTCGCGACGGCAGGCAGCCACGCCACGCAGACAATGGTCGCCTCAGGAGGCAGGCCGTCCGGGGCCGTCCGACTGCCTGGCGTAGTCGCCCAGTGCCATCGTCCCCACACGCCGCCCATCCGCCGGACAAACAGACAATCCCACGGCCGTGTTTCGCGCAGCGCCGGCGGCCGGGAACGGTCCCTAGCGGCCGGTGGCAAGCGGCGGCGCGCGGCCGACGGCGGCGGTGCCGGCGCGCCGGCGGCGGGCGGCGCGGCGCCGATCGAGCGGGCCTCTCCCGGCGGCGGCGGGCGGCGCCGGATCGACCGTCGGCCGGTCGGCCTTGGCCCAGACGGACGCCGTCGGCAACACTGGGTCAGCGGCGGCCGCGACAGAGAGGCGGCGGTGCTGGGGAGGCGGCCGCGACGGGGAGGCGGCTGTGCTGGGGAGGCGGCCGCGACGGGAAGATGACTGTGCTGGGGAGGCAGCGGTATCGGGAAGGCAGCGATATCGGGGAGGCGGCTGTGTCGGGGAGGCAGATGCGATGGGGAGGTAGCTGTGTCGGGGAGACGGCCGCGACGGGAGGGCGGATGTGTCGGGGGGGGGGGGGGGGGGCAGCTATGACGGGGGGAGGGGCGGCCGCGACGGGAAGGCGGCTGTGTTGGGGAGGCAGCGGTGTCGGAAAGGCGGCGATATCGGGGAGGCGGCTGTGTCGGGGAGACGCAGCCCTACCCCGCGCCCCCGGGGGACGCGGCTGGACGAAGAGGCAGTTTCGGCCCCTCAGGTGGACGCGGTCACGCCGCCAGCTCTTACTACAACAGAACAGGAGGACAAGGGCGGCGAACGCCATCCCCGCGGCCACGGACCACGACAGGACCGCGGACCTCCGACAACAGCCGCCGGGCGGCCGGACCACCACCGGTCCCCGGTCCTCCGCGCGCGGTGACTGGCAGCAGCGGCGCCACTCCCGGGCCATCCGTCAGCCGCGGCGACGGCGCCGCTGTTTCCAATTTGCGCCGGCCCGCGGCCCGGTGCGTCACGACCGATCGCTCCGGCAATAGATCACCGCGGGGGAGCCCCGGCACGGCCGTCCACGCCGCGGCGTCCGGCCCACACCGGCTTGTCACCAGGCGATCGGGCGATCCACGGCAGGACGGGCGTCCACGCCGCGGCGCCCGGCCCACACCGGCTTGTCACCAGGCGATCGGGCCATCCACGGCAGGACGGCCGTCCACGCTGCGGCGTCCGGCCCACACCGGCTCGTCACCAGGCGATCGGACCATCCGCGGCAGGACGGCCGTCCACGCTGCGGCGTCCGGCCCACACCGGCTCGTCACCAGGCGATCGGGCCATCCACGGCAGGACGGCCGTCCACGCTGCGGCGTCCGGGCCCCCCACCCGGCTCGTCACATGGCGATCGGCCATCGCGCAGGACGGCGTCCACGCTGCGGCGTCCGGCCCACACCGGCTCGTCACCAGGCGATCGGGCGAACCACGGCAGGACGACCGCCTCCGCAGCGTGCGCCGAGCAGCCGGCAGGACGGCAGCGGTGTGGAGGTGGACCCCCGATCGGCAGGACCGCTCTATTGAGCAGCCGCGCTCCGGCACGTGTCATGGGCCCCTGGTCTGTGGTATCACAGCTGGACTACAGTGGGGGAGTCATGATAGGGCTTTACGGTTATGGTCTCCACCTATCCACTCGAGATAGAACGTTAGCCAGACCAGGTGGCAACTTATCCAGATAAACATATCTAACTTGGTTCCCACATTGTTTCCAGTCGATATGCCCTTTGAGGTCAGATACGTGTTAAGGCGGGTTTTTGACCTGTACCCGAACTAAGACAGAGCCATGCCAGGCCAGTGATCACAGCCCTAAGGTCCACTCTTGTGTTTAATATGAACCAAAGCCCGCTACTGCCTAACAACTGAATTTCTGACAAAACCTTTTACGATAGAATAGCTAATTGTTTACAAGGTGATATTCCAATTAGTAACTACACACTGCGCGCAACATGCTCTACAAAGTTCGTCAGCCAATGGCGTACCCAGTTCACGTGCAAGAATCTACGCGACACGCTGCGCCGAACCTTCCGCTGCTCGGTCCACCTTACCAGTCTGTCAGCCCCTGGCCACCAGACCCCACATGCATTCCATCATCAACCGCCCCCCCCCCCCCAACCCCTGCCGCGGCCTGACCTGGATCTGCCCGAGGTGTCTGACCCGGCACAGTTCCCCTCCCCCTCTGACCGCCACGTGAGGCCGGCAGCCGCCCGAGCCCGTCTGGAGCGGCGCCACCGGACCGCCGTCGACCGGCCGGCAGCTGACTGGGCGGTGGGTCACGTGACTGGCCGGCCACGTGACCACTCTGTCGGGTAAACAACGGCGCGGCGGCGGCGGCGGCGGCCAGCTAGGCGCGCACGAAGGCAGGGCTGGCGGCGGCCGGCGGCTCGCGTTTAAAGACGAGGGCCGCGCCGTCGCCGGACCCCGAGGCAGATCTGAGCAGGTTGGCGGCCTGGCACGACACCCAGGTCAGGTCAGGTCAGGTCAGGTCAGGTCAGGTCAGACCGGACCGGACCGACGGGATGGCTCTACAACCCGGTTAGGCTAGCCCAGCTCGGTGGATGGGTCCACGCCTGGGCCAGATGCGAACACGATAAGACGCCCGATGGATGGTCCGTGGCATGTTTCGACACCTCGGGCAGCTGATAAGAGCAGTCGCCTGTTGACGTGTGTCGTGTACACATACCGACCGTATCACACAGAGCATCTGGTCTGACCCGCCGGGACCCATGGCACGCACGAACCACACTCGACGCGAGGGCAATCAAACTTGCGATATTCACGAAAATTGTACCAGACCAGACCATACCGCTGCCAGGTCCGACGACCCCGTTGCAACGGCGCGATCGATGACAGCACCGCTCCTGCACCAGCCGCGTCAGGTTCGCCGCTGCAGCCGCTGACGGCGGCTATTCCGAACCGCACGGTCGCCCTGGCAGCCACCGGCTCGGGCCGTCGCAGAGGACGAAGACGGCGGCGCGTTCCCAGGCGCGCACGGCGCCGCGGACACGCTTCTCCTCTCGCCCTGCCATTAATCAGGCGCTAACGCCGCCTCCCGGCGCCGCCATCACGCTCGTTCGGCGCCCGCTCCAGCCCGTCACGGTCCCCGGGCGTCGCGGCCGTCCGACCACCGGCGGTCGGCGTAGTCAGCTCGCTGCAGCCCACCCGATCGCGCCGTTCACGGACGCGCCGCCGGCTTGACAGGCAGACGGCGGCCGCCGCCGAGCCAGCCGTCCGGCGGCGGCGGCGGCCCGGGGCGGCGCGTGAGCGCGCGGGGCTCGCCTCGGGCCATCGGGCCGCCGCGCGGCGCGCTCGCTTCAGCCTGACGGAGCGCGGCGCGACCGCCCGGCGGTGAGCAGCAGACGGCCGGCGCACAATGGCCGCATTGTGACGGCCGCTCCGGCGGTGACGACGCCCGCCTGACATTCCCAGCGCTATTAGAAAACAGATCAACAGCGGCTACGGCCCCGCACAAAAACGCCGGCCGAGGTCAAGGGTGGCGGCAGGGCGCACTCCGCTTGGCCGGAGTCCGACCGTCGGCGGCTGGAGGTCGGGGGGCGGGGCACCTGGTCATTACGGACGTGTGGCGGGACTGACGGCTCGTGTCGCCGCGTCCGGCGCCAGCCGCGGGCTGGCACGCTCCGGTCGGCCGCGCGTGTGCGGCGTGACAAACGGACGACGTGGTGGCGCCGCGCCAGGAGGGCGTGAGAGAAAACACCACGCGCAGGTCACAATACTGCTCGTCGGGACTCGCGGCTCGGGTCAGCACTTTTCATTAAAAACATGTAGAACTGCGCTCGGTCTCTACAAGTTTTACTAAGCGCCACGTCCTCACATTATGGCATTTCGCGTCACAGGCAGGTTTGCCCGAAAACAACTGAACCGATCGACCATATCTGGCTCTCCTGTGCCGCCGTTTCCGGCGCCCCCTTGCCAGACGGCCGATCCCACGCGTCCCGTTAGGGCACGCGTGCTGCGGCGGGAGCCCCTGCCAGCACCGGCGGGCGCGCTTGGCACGCGCCGTGGCCGGCGGCGGACTTCGCACTCCGGGCGGGCGCATTCCGGCCGCGCCGACACGGCATCGGCAGCGATCAGCTGACGGGAGTGATTCACTCGAGCCGCGCCGGCCGGCGGGGGGCCCGGGCCGAGCGGCTGCTCCCGCTTCACGGGCTGCCAGCGGGAGCGGCCCGCTAGCTCTAAAGCGGCCCGCTGGAGCAGCGCCGGTCCATGGCCAGCGTCGGACTGGGCGGCCGTAACACTCCATCCCTCAGCGCCCCGACGCGGACGGACAATCCAGCCGGGACTGGAGGCTCTCTCACCACTTCGATGGATGGCTGTTGTTTGTTGTTGTTTACTGGTGTTTCAGGGCGCGCCGACTGCAGTGGCTATTTTGCGCCTACGGATGGTAGCGTTTGGTAATTAAATGAACAAATTGATGTTCATATGGGAGACTGATGTCAAGTCAACCCACAGGAAGTTGATATAATTGCGAGACGAACGCGAGAACGGTGACCTTGGCTGCGGTTAAACCAAGGCCTCCGTGCGGCTATATCAGACAGCTGACCACCGCCTCGTCGAACTGACTCATACCATTGTCCACCCAACCGGAGCCGACGCGTCCGCAGACGGTTCGATGTCGCAGCGGGGCGTGAATCAGCCCTGACCACGTGCCTATCTCGGCAGTCCACGGCAACACCCGGCGCGACGTCGGCGACCGATGACCTCAGCCAAAACAGGGCGGCGGCAGCGGGGAGGGGGCGAGCCAAGCAGTCTGTGACCACGCCCGGGACGCGTCGGCGCCAAGTCAACACCGGTGTCCCCCCGTCGAGCCCTCGGGGTCTGAATCAACTGTGAGTCAGACCCGCGGCCGTCTGGGCAGCCGCACCGCCCGCCCGCTGGGGCATCGACCGCGCGTCTCGGCAAATTAGCCGCCGGCCGCGTCAGCCGCACGACAGCGCGGCCCCGCCGGGCGCCTGCACGCAGCCGGCCGCGGCGCCGCCTCCGCCGCCGAACCCGGCCGGCGCCGCAGGTCCGGCGCTATTAGCGCCGACGAGGAGATACGGCAGGACCTGTCGGCGGCCCCGCGGCCCGGCGCTCGCCGGGCTCGGCCACGGCACGCCCGGGGAAATGTGCGGGACCGAGCCCGGCCGAGAGTACCTGCTATCGATACGCGGCGGCGCCAGGACAAAGACGGAGATAAAGAAGGCTGTGTGTGTGCACTGATGTCATATCGCAACAGTCATGGCCGTCATCCACAACAATGCAGACAGTACCACCACCTACAGTATACCGAAATGCCCTATCAACTCAGCGTATGCAGGCTTATACGGCTTCTGTTGAAAGGGGAGGACACGAAGCAAGCGCAGATATTGCCCCAACATATTCCGTTCGATAACGCATGCAATAGTTATCCGCTTGCCCGCTCACAAACCAACGTTCTAACCGACGTCCGATTCCGCAGATGCACCTCCAAACAGCAGCGGGGACGGGCGAGTACAGCATACACGGCACGGACGAGGCCCGCTGCCGGCCTGGTACCCCACCACACGGACACCGCCGGCGGCCCGGCCCGGCCCGGCCACTCACCACGCAGTCGACGTTGGCGATGCCTGGTCCGTGCGTGATGAGCGTGCGCACCACCTCCACGTTGCCGGTCCAGGCGGCCAGGTGGAGCGGCGTCGAGCCGCGGTGGTCGGCCAGGTTCACCGACGCCTCGTGGGCCATCAGCAGTGCCACCACCTCCCTGCGGAGACGGGTCGGCGTCAGGCGGAGCGGCCGCTGGGGTGGCGCCGGCGGCGTCAGCACGGCGTCGCTTACGGCACGCCTGCAGTCAGGGCACGAGCGTCAGTTCATTTCCTGCTGGTTTCCATTTCATTTACTGGGCGGTGTCGCCGCCAAGCCTCCCCCCCCCCCCCCCTCCCGAGCTCTCTGCGCGGCGCCTCTCCCGCTCCAGGCTTGAACCAGAGAGTCGGCAATTTGTGGAATAAGCGGGACCGGTTCCCATGCCAGAAGCCCGGTTATGCCCGATTCGTTGCAAATGGAGTTATGCTGTTGTCAGTTCTTCTGCTGGCAGTTGAACTGCACCGGGACGGAAAGTTCAACTCATTCCAGCCCCAGAGTACATTTACAGAGTACCAGATACCATTTCTCTTGATGCAGACCAAAAGGTGCTTAGTGCACCAAGTTCCGCAAAACTGAACGTGACGTTTATGGTACTGCAAGACCGTAAGTGAATCCTGAATGTCCCTGAGCTTGCTTCCCGCAAAGCTTGAGAGTGCCTGTGCCCATGTTTCCCCGATCACAAGCCAGTGTCGCTGACGTCTCGGCGATCATCATGATACGTCATATCTCCGGTCACATCAGGCACCCGGCTTTATGTCATTGACCAAGACGTCCACCTGCGGTGTCTGAAATCCTTGAAACATACTTGGCACAGCAAATTTAGAGCAAAATCTTCAAGAATACGCAACGAAAGATGAGTTGAAATTATGACATGAAATCATGGTGTTTTTGCATCTGACGCTGACTGCTGTTCCCATTACACTTAATGAGTTGGATAAGATCAGTTGCTTTTAAACATTATTAGTTTGAGCAAGGAAAAACATCACTCCCGCAACAGCTAATATTCGGAGACAGAAAAATGCTGCCGGATACTGTTTGTCCGCATGTCTGCCAACACCGGCCACTCGTCGGCCACGGATGTACGCCAAGCCCCCATTCGGCGCGGATCTTTTGAAGGGAATGCTTCGAAGCAACACATTCCATGACAGTATACCATACCGTCCCAGAACCGCGACCGAAAACGAAAACGACTGAATGCAAAGACAGCCCCCAAAACGCAGCTCGGCGCACAGTGGCAGGAGTGCGGTTGACTCAGCTTGCAGGAGCGCACGGGCAGGGCGAGTGCGCAGCTGTGTCGCGTCGAACGTCTGGTGACAGGTGACGCAGACACAGCACCGGCCACACTACCGAGCCACGGAGGCTGACAGCGTTGCGTGCAGCCTGCCGGTACTACCCCGCCGGGACCGGACGGCGTTCATCACATCGAGCCACGGGCATTATCGCCACACCGCCATCTCACGGCAACAGGCAGCCTGTTTCGTGCCAGCATGCCGCCAGATTCTGCCTATATTACTGCTCCACAGTCAAACGCAGCTTCTGAAATGTGTCATCATGCGTGGCTGCACCACATCCGCTCCTGGCCATTCGGAAGTTGTTTGAGAAGTGGGCCAAAGTTGATCAAATACACACTTTCAACGTCTTGTTTGGGAGAACCTTTCGCCCTTTTCCCCTGCTCAGCTCCTCGCTCTCACATGCTCACTTTACGAAACTACGCCCCTGATGTGCACTGCACATCCTGGTCAACCGAAACAAACAGTGATCTGGCCGGATGGCTTCGAACGCTGAACGCCAGGCGAGCCGGACAATGGAGCGGACCGGCGTGCTCTGACACCGGAAGCGTCGCGTGACTGCGGTCGGCGGGTCACGGGCGGCACTCAGGAACCAGTCGAGCATCGCCGGACAATGGAGACAGGCGTCCGTCTCCAGAGTCCGTCCACAGAGCGCGCCGAGCACCCGGCGCGGCCGCGACGGCTCTCCGCGCGGCCACCACCGTTCAGACACCGAGCAGAGCAGCCTCCAACCGTACGACCCGACTGTCGCGCGGCACGACCGGCTCGGCGCCGCCGCCGGGCCGGCACCTGCCGTCGCCCCGGTCTCACCCGGCCTGACGTCTTCCTTCGGCGAGACGGATGTGCGCGAGGCGCGCCGCGGCGCCCCGCGGCGCTCCGCTATCTCAGCGTAACGGCCCGACGCAACGACATATTACAGCCGGCGTTTTCCGGTCATCGCCACCGCTCCGCCGACGGGCCGTAAATCACGCCGCGACTCCAGAAAAAACGGCGCTCCCGCGTCGCCGCCGACGGCGGCTGTTCGAGGTCCACGTCTGGAAATCGATCCGGCGAGCGGCGGCGGTGCGGAGGGTTTGCGAGCCCCGCGTGCCAGCGACCCGGCGAAAGGAGGTCGGGCCACTCAGCGCGGGCCGGACCCGGTCAGCAGACGCGCGGTCACCAGCGGCCATTTATACGCCAGAGTCGGACACGGTCGACATACGGGCGACGACCAGCATCCATTTGTACGTCAGATGAGATGGAGCATGGCCGGCGAGACAAAGCCGGCCAGATGAACGCGGAAACGGTGCTGGACGCGATGCAGCTTCTAACATTGTTACGGCGGCTGATATAATAAATACGCTCATTACAAGTGTCTCAGTGAACTTTTGAGCACAAATTAAGTATTTATCACACCTTGATGCATATGGTCTTCTTGGAAGCTGCGTGCTTTCGCGCAAAATGAGTTGAAGGAGGGGGAGGGGGCTAAGCAATGACAATGACATAACCTACGTCCAAAAAGGCCAAAAAAGAGATTCCTTCCCGGATTTGGCCCAAGTCATTCTCAAAGCATTGGGCGGAGGGGGAAGCTCAAGCCCAAGTTGGGGCAGGGGGTGGGCTGACACCCCTCAATTGAATAGGAAACTACACTCCTGGACCTTAGACGTTCGAAGGGCACTGGCCCACTGCCGATAGAGGACCATGTAGAAGATCAAGCGACTGGATGTATAAATAACGATCTGATTCAAAGGGCAACATCTGCCGGCTGGTGGCATGCATGGCCTGGTGCCACGGTTTGGCATCCACGCACGACAGGCGCGCCAATGGACGGAGGCGGTGAGGCACCGCGACCGCAAGCACAGCACTCCACAACGTCCACCCGAGCGCACGCACACGCACGCCGCTGCGTGCACGCATACCTCCCCCTCCCCGCCTAACGTGCGCCAGGCTCCGACGTCGCGATCACTGACGCCGGCGGCGCGCGCCAGGCCCCGGCCACCGACCCTCGAGCGGGCCGGCTTTCACAGGTGCTTCGCCGGCGGTGCCTCAGGATCCGCGGCGCGATACGGGGCAAGGAAGCGGGCCGTGCGCCCGGCCGAATCGCCGCATTCGGCACGCCGGCGCAATCGGCGCACGAATCCCTGCGGAGCGGCGACTTCGCAGCGGCCCGACGGCCGTGCCGCACGGCGCTACACGCATCTCCAGATCGCGATGAATGATTCAGCGGCGCGGCCGACGAGGCGGCACGGAGCGGCGCCGGGCCGCGCCCACCGCCGGCCGCCGGTGACTGGTCGGCCGTCACACGATCTCACCCGATCGGCTGTCACACCTCACACGGTCACCCGGGCGCTTCCGCCGGACGTGTCGCAGCCGGTGGGCGGTCGCGTCTCTTCGGATCAGCGGTCCTATATGCCCTTGCGTCAGGCACGTCAACGAGTGACATAAGCCGTTCACGCGTCACATACCTCGTATCGTAAGATCCCATCGCACGTGCAGTCTGTCAAGCAGGTGTGCATGAGTTGGTCCAGAATTGGGGGGGGGGGGGGGGCTTAGATGCGTTTCGTCGTTTTTTCCACAAGCTACCGTAAACCTAGTGTTATTTTTTTTTAATGTTGGAGAGTGGGGAGGGGCTCGATCACCCTACTAGCCTCACCCCCAGCGTTAGTTCCAGGTCATGTACATACATATAAATTTCACACAACTCCACCTCGTCAATCCGAGGCCACATCTGACCACGGCCGGAGATCACAGCACGGGCCCGCCGGCCGCTCGGGCACGCACAGCACACGGCCGGAGATCACAGCACGGGCCCGCCGGCCGCCTGGGCACGCACAGCACCCGGCCGGAGGTCACAGCACGGGCCCGCCGCCGTCCGGGCGCGCACAGCACACGGCAGGAGATCACAGTACGGGCCCGCCGGCCGCCCGGGCACGCACAGCACACGGCAGCGACGTCGGGAAACAACAGCCGCCTCCAGCCCAGGGTCCGGGCGCGGCGCAGGGTCACCGAGCCCCGCGGCCGCGGCGCTGGCGGTGGGTTGACCCGCGTGGCCGCCGCGGCGGGCGGCGGAGCTCACCTGTGACCGTTGAGGGCGGCGTGGTGGAGCGCCGTGTACCCGCTGGTGTCCTGGATGTTGGGCCCAGGGCCGCGTCGCAGGCTGCAACACAGGCCGGCGTTAGCGCTCGACCGCGCCGGCGGCCAGGTCCGCGGGAGCGCACGCACGGCACACCGGCAAAAACAGGCCGCGCGGAGGCGCTCATCGGATACGGGAGGCAATAACCGACCCCTCGACAGACTCTCCACGCCTTCACACCGCCCTTTGCTGCCGGGGCCCGTTGATACTGAGGCACTCAGGCCGCGCTCCGGACCAGTAACGGAGCGCAGCCGGGTGTCATAGGCAGCCGGCCGTCATAGGCAGCCGGCAGTCATAGACAGACGGCCATCATCGACAGCAATCTGCCATAGGCAGCCAGTCGTTACAGGCAGCCGACCGTCATCGGCAACTAGCCGTCACGGCCAGCTGTCATACGCAGACGGCCGTTATAGGCAGCCGACTGTCATAGGCAGCCGACCGTCATAGGCGGCCGGTCGTTACCGGCAGCAGGTCCGTCATAGGCAGCCGACCATTATAGGTAGCCCACCATCATCGGCAGCCGGCCGTCATCGGCAGCGGGTAGTCATAGACAGCCGACCGTCATGGGCAGCCAGCCGTCATACACAGCCGACCATAATCGGCAGCCAGCCGTTATATGCAGCCAACCGTCATCGGCAGCCGACCATCATCGGCAGCCGGCCGTCATAGGCGGCCGACCGTCATCGGCAACTAGCCATCACAGGCGGCCAGCTGTCATAGGCAGCCGACCATCATAGGCGGCTGACCGTCATAGGCAGCTGGTCGTCACAGGCAGCTGCCGACCGCCCGGCCATCATAGACAGCCGGGCGGTCAGCTGGGCAGTCAGATGGGCGGTTAGTGGACCAAACAGCCAACAGCAAGGTGCCGGGGCAGCGTGGGCCACGCTGACGCGACAGACTACCAAACCACCAAACACTAATGCACAGAGCATGCCTGCAGCTATCATTGTAATGACTGCCTTGAGGAATCATATCTACTGATGCACAGCATGCCTGCAGGTCTTACTGCCATGACCTCTTTGGGGCATTATATGTTTCTCACAGCACAGGTACCAAAGCTAATGGCTAATGTCAAAGTCTGCTGACACCAGCCTATGGTTAGTGATTTTGAGTTCCACAATTTCCATGCACATTACCATTGTGCTTTTTATACCAGATTTTTCATGAGTACGCATGTTACCAGGATTTCATGTCAGAGGCCCAGCAAATACCCAAAGAGGAGGCAAAATGGTGCTCAGAGAGACAGGAAGACCATCAATTTGTAAGGCAAAACAATGGTACTATATCAATTACCATCAATGCAGGCAGCAGGGAAGCAATCCAAAGCTCCAGGAAAAAAGGAACTCCCAACCACCCACACCATCAATGCCTCTGGTCACAATATTTACAAGGGTCTTAATTACAGTTGGCGAGATTGTTCTGTAAGCACTCTTGGATAATAACTTTCTGTACAGCAAAGGTATAATCCACAGGTTTTATTTTAAGCAGGGTTATCCAAGACTAAGGAGCAAGCAGAATAGTGTAACCAGTTGGAAAGCAGCATGCCCAAATAGACTGCATTCATGAGTATTTTGGCATGCTTGTTATTGTTATGCTGTTGTGTATATCTCCACTATGAATGCAAGCAAACCTTATTACAAAAGCCATGTAAAAACATGATCATCTTTCGTATGACATGGAAAAATTGCTGCATTTTGCTTGTGAAGACTGCACACTCCTTGCCTTACTTTGAAATATAGGCATGACTAAAAAGGCATGCCTGAATGGAACTACTTGGAGGATCCACATTATGAGCACCAATGCAACACACATCCCACATATGAGTACACTTCCAATATACTAGCCTGTATGTCTACACATATTTGAAAGGCAAAATGTATCCAATTCTGACAAAATGCATTGTCCAATAAAAGCTTCTTTCATGCATGATCACTGATGCCACAGCTAATAGCAGATGTGTCGCAAGACCATAAGCTTTGATTATTGTCTGATAAAATGGCATACCTCGCCAAAGGTCCAGAGCGCCTGGTTCTCTGCAGCAAGATCTTCTCCACTGCAGCATAATAGCCATTCCTTGCTGCGTCCAACAGCTCTTGATCCTTTCCCATCTTAGTTGTTTGGGTTCATCACAAAACAGACCAAGATCTACATGGACGACTAAGCTATAGCTCACACCACCAAACTGTCACAGATCCATAAGCAATACATTCTATCTACCTACCCTCCTCTCAACATAACACGCGGGACGCTGACGCCCCACCCCCACGATATCACACGACTGGGGAACCTGGAGGAGGCGTTTGTTTATCGATCGGGTGCGATGGTGCTGACACCTATAAAAATATCACGTTTAAAGAAATTGAAATAAATTTGGCTGTATTGTTGTTTTAATATAAGTGACTTGATCACTTAACTCTTTAAAAATATAAAACTCTATTTTTTATTTATGACCATATCCAAGACAATCATGTGCATTTTGAATCGCGACATCCTGGAGGTCCCTGAAGCAGTAGGGCGGTCTGGGCAAAGCTACACTGTCGAAAACGCATTCATTAGTTGGGGTTTCCCAGGAAAATGTTAGTTTACGTATCTGCCAAGACCCTATTTCAGACTATGATTACAAAATTACAAGTCAGTAGCCCTGCGAACGGCTGCTCCTCGGTGCACATCCGCGTTGACTGCAGCATGCGAACTCGATGTCAACCGCGCTAGTTCCTGCCGGCGGAGCATCGCTAAACCATCGAAGTGCAGCGATGTTAGGGACCGGTATCAGGATGCAAGGTGGGTGAAGCGGGTGATCAAAAGAAATGAATTTGAAGCATATCTAGATTTAGCTGATACGAACCATTTTGCTGAGTGCGAGGCCTGCGCCGGCATTACCCAGGCGGGCCTCGGTAAGGAATAACTTTGCGCTCAGGTCCTGCGCAGTATCCAAAGAGACAAATGTTTCGGCTTGCCTTCAGGGACGGGAATCCCGCCAGCGAAAAACTCGGTACGAGACAGCCAAGGCATCCTGGTTTCATATGTTATACGCATCCTGGGTTCATGTGCCGGACCTCCACTGTACGCTGCTCCACCGGCCGATGGTAGCGCGTTGATGACGCACTTCAGGGGCGGTGGGCGATCAATCTCGAGACTGATTGGCTGCTGTTTGATGGCTATCGCTAATGCGACATCATTTTGTTCGCGGAGCAGCGTATGGTGTGCAGCAATCAATGCATCACATCTCAATGTTATTGTTGCTCAGCTGATATTCTTTTGTCGCAATCGTGTCATGTCTGTATTGTTCATCCGCATATTTTTGTGTTTACGCTCTTATCCCTTATTCAACGTCGGTGCGCGCAGGTGCGTCGGGTGTATTCAATGACTGTGTGTACATTAATCGAGGCCTTAATTCGTCATTTGGTCATGAACGCCGGCAGCTGAGTTCTATCACAGCTAGACATGCTATCAGTTCGTTAGATTTACAATTAAACCAGAACGAAACTGCCCTGAGTAACTTAAAGCTTAAACTTAAGTTGATGTGAAACTGAATGGTTGTATGTTAGTGTTGATTCCAGTATGTTTTACATGAAATGTATTTTGTTTTTCAGGGCTTGTATGATCTGTTTTTGCAAGTTTTAATAATTTCTCTGCTGTTTTTGGTCTCAGCTTTTGCCCATCATGATCATTGAAAGCCAGTTAAAACCAAACCACAGGTGACAACCATTTGATCACTATGACATACCAGAGCTCCAAAATTCATGTATTTAGGGGTACAGGAAGCAAATGCAAATTTGACCTACCAGAATTGTGGCTCTCTAAAGTCCCATGGCTTTTGTACACCCCAAATTTGTTGGCTAGTGATTGTGGGCATTTGATCCTGAACCCTGACATCTGACCCTCCCAGCCAGTTCGCTGAGCCCTAGGTGCTTAGATGCCAGGTTGACAATGAATAGTTTGATGATTGGCTGGTCTTCTGAAAAGGGAGGAGAAACAGGCAGTGAACCCCAAGCTGAGGGTGTCATGACATGAAAAACATCACCGTCCCTGCCACCAAAGTGGCTAAGTATTGAAATAATCTGCTGCATTGATCAAAATAAGAACTAGTATTACCTGTAGCAGGTATTTTTGCACTCTAGAACAAGGGATACCATTCTGCCCACATGATAAGTGAAATACTGAATAAGATAAAAAGAGTTGCCAGTAGTTATTTATTTCAGTGCAACCTTGCTGTGTCAACTCTCTGCAAGCTCTTTTGCTGCCAAGAGGCTGTGGCATGGCCAAGGCTTTGTCCAGAAGGGTGCCAGTTTGTGCCATGGGGTCCTTTTAGCCCAGTGACTGCACTTTGTAACCATCAGGGCCTTGGTATGGGGGTTATGGAATATTATTAGGCTTAAGGTTGTATTTTGATGGCTAAAAGACCTGCTCTCAATGTTTATAAGTTCTAAACACATCCTACACTTTATAAATCTGTGGAGAACTTTGCTCCAGGGTCTAGGTGGTCCCTGCCATCTCCTGTGGGAAAGGGGTGTAACACTCAAAGGCCCCTTTGGCTACGCCACTGGCATGAGGAGTGGGGAAATCCCCGTACAGTGCTGAAATTCTGTCACGATATTACTGCATTGCTGCATTTTTTATTACACTAACACTGTAAAAACACCATGCTGCTTAGCAGAATGTGGTGTGCCACAAGGTTTTGTTTTCATGTCAAAAATGCATACTTTTCAAGTGATGTGTGAGGTGCACATCACAGTTGTACAGTGCAATGCCCTCTCAGAATAACACTTTTTTACATATTCAGGGAAAATGCACCCAAAGGCTTGCATGCTTTTGTAATTGTTAGGATTCTGGGGAATATGACATAATTTTGATCTTTTGCAACCCCAAATACCATGGCATATTTTTGTTGTTACCAGCCATTTTCATTGTTTTCCAAAATCAATAAAACATCATTTTGTGAACAGTGCAGATTTGTCCAGCAGTGATTGTTTTGATAGTGAACTGTAACATGTATCTGCATGAACTAATGTTTTGTGTTGTGTGCCCTCAGCATTGAAGCCTACCTGGAATTTATCAATGGTATCAGTGCAAAGGAAGTATTTCACATTGGTCCTGCTGATTGCTGGCCAATGCAGTGGAATCACAATTGGTGAGTTTATGTTGCTTTTTGTTGGCATGCAAAAATCCAACATATAATGTGATAATATTTGGGTCAGATGTTTTCACTCCCAGCTCTGGTTCATTTAACATTTCAGAAATTATGTATAATCTCATATATCTCGATATATATATAATTAATGGTATATATATATCTATATGTGTATATCTCTCTATCTATCTCTATCTCTATATATCCTTATATATATATATATTATCTATATTGTAATAATGTAATTGTTAGGATTTTGCCTCCACAGAGAGCTGGCGACAGTCTGCATGCATGCTTCATATTTGGCTCACTTCGTGGTGTTCAGACGCCCTGGTGAACCGTGCCGTTTATCGCGGGGTGCTGCGTGTGGCCGCCGATATTGATCATTGTGCTGTGAAACTCCTGGCAGTATATATATATATATATATAATATATATATATATGTATATATATATATATATATATATATATATATATATATATATTACATGAGATGCATTTGGGAGTGCATTATCTGCTAGGGCTATGACCTTTCCGAGCAGCATTACAGTACTGTGCAGGATGTCATGGACCTAGGAACTAGCATGGTGAGCTTTGGGGAATGGGCGGTGCTTGGGCTGTGAGACCCAACATGCTGGGGAGTGTAATACCAAGCATACAGCATTGCATGCAAGCAGCAAATTTTTGAAATGCCTGAGTCCACCCCACTCCCTTTCCCACCCCCACCCCCACCTGTACTCCCACCCATTTTTGAAACAAGCTCCCACACTCCCACTGGCGCTGCTCAGCAGTGACAGTTTTGTTGCCATGCAGATGGCGTGCAGCCCAACTCGACCACACCGTGGTCGCCGGCGCTGCTGGACCTGGCGCTGCCGGCCGGCGCCTCGCACGCCCTCCTGGTGGCGCAGATCCCGGCCGGTGCGCAGTTCGCGCTCGTGCAGGCGCACGTGCAGCGCGCCAACGTGACGCTCTCGCAGCCGGCCGACGACGGCGGCGGCGCGGAGCAGGTGACCGGGCCGCACGTGGGCCTGGTGGCGCGGCTGGCGCCCGGCCAGACGAGCGCCGAGTTCGGCGTCACCAACCCGAACGCCCGAGGCGTCACGGTGCTTGTCGCCGTCGTGCTCTACCAGGACCGAAGTGAGTGACGCGCGTCACGGCAGGCGGCAGGCTCACCGGCCAGAGAGCTGGCGACAGTCTGCATGCATGCTCATATTTGGTCGCACTTCGTGGTGTTCGACGCCCTGGTGAACCGTGCCGTTTATCGCGGGGTGCTGCGTGTGGCCGCCGATATTGATCATTGTGCTGTGAAACTCCTGGCAGTATAAGCCGCAGCAAACACGAGAGAAGCGCAGATAAGGGTGCGTATGGCATTCTGTTGTATTGGGCTGCACGTTTCATTGTATATGATTCACTCATTGGTTTCATACTGCTAACGGTAGTGTTTTGCCTCCGACGAGTCGTCGTTGCGTGGTCTCCATGGGCTCATCACCACATCACGTGTCTTCCAGCACCTTCTGCCGGGCGGCTGCAGCCAAACAGAATCCGTGCCTGTCGCGCCGTTCTTCCGCGTCCAGTCGATGCGCGATGTGGTCAGCGTCTTCACTGTGCCCAGGGCGCAGCTGGGAATCAACAGGTGCGTTCCTTATTACTTCAGAGCATTGTATCGCAGAGAACCCCTTAATGGGTCTTGCAGAATGTGACAGCATTGATCATGGGGCGTCCGTGCCCAGATGTTGATGGGGAGCCTCGCGTATTGCCCGATGGCAGCGTGACTGCGAGTACAGCTCGTGTACGCGTCAAACAGCACTGCGCCGGTAAGTGAAGTGTCGAAGCCTGCTGCTGGCCCTGCGTAATGGCTATGGTAGCCAGTGCCGGTGACGGCTCGGGGTCAGTGTGCGCTGCTGTACACCTGTCCGCCCTGGCCTCCAGGAGCGTGGCCTTCACCTGCGACTCGGCGCGGCAGGCCGTGACGTATCAGGCATACGTCATGTTCTCGTCGTACAACCTGCGTGGCGACTACAATCGCTCCAAGGAGGCCATATCACTCATGGTGACGCCCGAGTCCCTGAAGGCGCACGCCATTCCGGTTAGTTGAGTCTGAGGGGCTGGCTTAGGTGCGGCCGCGTTGAATATGCTAGTGCTTCATGATGGTGGCGCGATTTTGATCGAATAACATTGTTATGCAGTTGTGTGTTCTTTCCGAAATATGTTGCCGAGCAGCCTTTTCCATTAAATCATAGATTTACAAATTGACTGGGTGTCGCTTGAGAGCACTTTGCCCTTTCAGTGCACTATTTGTTCAAATACATGGTCGCGCTTTGTTAAATTTTTCAGGCGTCCAGTTTGTGTGGCGCATTCGTTCCTCGGTTTCCGTTCAGCGACCGTGACATGCGCCGGACTTTGTATCGCAGTAGTCTGCTATTACCCTCCGTTTTTATTCATTTTGATTCTGCCGTTGATACAGCCCCTCACGTCCACTGCCCTCCCTTCCCCTCACACCCCTCACGTCCCCTCCGCTCCCCTCCGGTCCGCGCGGACTAGCCCGCGCCCTCGCTCTCGTGGCGTCGCTCGGTCCCCCGCTCGTCGTCTCTTCCGCCGGGCGGTCCGAGCCAGCGCCGCTCTGTCGCCGTTGACAGGTGAGCGGCCGCGAGCCGTCGCTGCCGCTGCGCTACACGCTGGCGCTGTACCGCGGCTACACGGCGCTGTACGGCGTGGCGGTGACCTCGCCGCGCTGGTGCATGCCCGCCGCCTACGTGCCGGCCGTCCACCACAGCTGCCCCGTGCTCGGTCTGGACGAGGACCCCGACTGCTCGGCGGAGGGTGAGTGGAACGGAGCGGCGGCCGCGGCTCGGCTGCTCGCGCCCCGGCGGACGGCTTTCCGCGCGGGCCGTGAGGCGACGCGCGATGTACGGGGTTGTGTAACGTTTGGGGCGTGGGAGCAGGAGTGCCGCGCGGTGATCAGTGTCTTACCGCCTGCGTTTTTCGTCCCGTCCTTGTGATTGTTGAGACCGCTGCGCCAGGGCAGGGAGCCGCTGACCCACGTGCTTGTAGTCTTTGTCGCGTGCTCCTGCCGTATGTCCTGCGTGCTTCTGCCGTCCGCCCCGCGTGCTTCTGCCGTCCACCCCGCGTGCTCCTGCCGTCCGCCCCGCGTGCCCCTGCCGTCCGCCCCGCGTGCTTCTGCCGTCCACCCCGCGTGCTCCTGCCGTCCGCCCCGCGTGCCCCTACCGTATGTCCCGCGTGCTCCTGCCATCTGTCCCGTGTGCCCCTGCCGTCTGCCGTGCGTGCTCCTGCTGTCCGCTCAGCGTGCTCCTGCCGTATATTGTGCGTCCGCTCGTGCCGTCTGCCCCGCGTCTGACGGTCGTATGTCTGGTCGTCGGCAGTGTCGCCGCACTTCTACCTGACGGCTGCGCTGCTGACGCTCGCCGGCATGACGCTGCTGACGGCCGGCGCCGGCCGCCTGGCCGTCCAGGTGCTGCTCACCACGGCCGTCCTGGTGGCCGCTCTCACCGCCCTGCTCTTCCGTCGGCTGGCCTGGGACGAACCCAACGGTGAGCATGGCCGCCTGGCCATTGGAAGCTGCTTTTTTCCCAGGTTGTCCTGCGGAGGACGTGTGTCTGATCAGAGCGGTGCAGAACTGAGAGGTTGCGTGAAGCTGGAGCGTCTGCCCTGGTCGTAGCGAAGTCAAACGTCAGGCGCCTGTCCGTGTTACCGCATGTGACGACCGTGAGAGGACGCGGCGGGCTCTGGCGGGGTTGGTGGCGCCACCTGCCGGCTAGTCTCGCTGCAGCGGCCCTGGTTTTCTGAGAAGACCTCGTGGGCCGTTTGGCCGAGTGTTCAGTAGTCCTTCGCGGGCTTTGTTGTGAGATCCCACCCGTTGTCATGTCGCCCTGCGTGATATATGGTTTATGACAGTATTTGTAGGTCATTGCGAACATGTTGAATTCGGTTTTTGGGATAGCTACTTGTGTGGTTTAAACACCCAGTTTTTCACACGCTGGTTTTTTGTGATGGGGTAGTCGCTGCACCATAGAATCTCATTCATCCCCACCATCACGCGACCTTCTACATAACCGACGCGACTTTCTTCCTTCCCCTTTCCGTGCTGACGCCGCCGGCCGCTGGCCGCTGCGCCTTTCCCGTCAGTCACCGTCGCCGTCTGCCGCAGCGGCGCTGGGCGTGGGTGTGGTGGCCGGCTTGCTCTGCGCCGCCGCCTACACCCGTCTCTGGACGTCCGGCCGCTGTCCGCGCGGCTACATGACCTTCTCCATGGCGCTGCTGTTCGGCCTCTCTGTCGGCGCCGTGTTCTTCTTCATCCCGGCGCGTGAGTGGCGGCCGTCGCGGCTCCGGGCTGGACCGATGCCGCCGCGGCGGTGCGGCTCTGACCGGCACCGCCGCGGCGGGCGAGTCTGTGCTCACGCCTTTCGTCTGGCACTGGCGGGGGGAGCGCGGCCCTCACGCTCCGATCGAGGACGGCTGCGAGCCGGGGCGTCACCTGGCGGCTGGCCTGCTCGCCGAGCGGCTGCGGCAGACACACGTGTGCGGAGTCCCGTGACCCATGACCCATGTCTGGCGTGTGTCAGCTTGTGGTCACAGCCTGCGTGGTGTGATCACAACGCATCGACTCGACCCCCGCATCGCGCGCAGCCCCTCCAACACCACAGCTGACGTGACGGCCACAAACCCGGCGGCCCTCACCTTCCCATGCTTGAGCGAGGTGACGCGGTGGCGCAGACTTGTGTGACTAATGGCCGCCACGCGGCCGCGTTTGCAGTTCAGATCCCCGACCTGGCGTCTGACCTGGTGTTTTGGCCGGCGCTGATCCTGGTCGTCTCCGTGCTGTCGTTCGGCGTGCTGCTCCCCAGCCTGGACGTGGTGAGTGATGACCAGGTCCTACCATCATCAGGACTGGCAGGTCATCGGTAACTTGGACCCGCGCGGTCAGATTTCGATGTTTTGAAGGTCGTATGATTTAAAATTTTATGGAACGTATCCTGCAGCCTTGGGAGGCCTTTCTAGCGCTGTTGTTCGCATTGACGTGACATTTTAAGTTATTGATTGATCTAGACAGGCTAGCTCAGCAATAGAGTAGCCCCCCCCCCCCTTTGACCTGACATGACATGTCACGGGCCATAGCCGTCGCGGTGTTCTAGTGCCAACTGATAGGAGATGTTTCGTGCTGTTCCCGTCATTGTCCTGTCTGCTCTGTTGTTAAGATAACGGATAACCTATTCAGTGTTGATTTCATTTCTAAGACCTGGTTTGAGCTGTCAGAGGTCGGATTCACCATCGGTCAGCCACATCTGTCTGGTACAGAGCGGCGAGAGGTTTTCAGTGGCGTTTTTCCGTAGCTCTATCTTGCTTAGTTTTCGAGATATTGGGGATTTCTTTCGACATCTTTCACCTGGTGTGGCAAAGGCGAAGAGCGGCCGCAGGGCGATAGGTATGATAAAAAACTTGCCCTCAGTGTTCAGGTGGTAACGGAGCCCTCTGTCCACCAGAGCCTCATCCTGATCCGGTCGCTGCTGGGAAGCGTCTGGATCATGATCGCCGTGAGCATGCTGACCAGCTCCATGACCCACTACGTCTTCACCAACCTCTTCAGACGCGCCATCTACCCCAAGTTCCGATTCGCCATTCTGCAGATGGGCTTCCTGGCGCAAGGTGGGCATTTGTGCTCTCTGGAGTGCGGCCGGCCGGTCGCCCTCCCCCTCCCCCCCCCCCCCCCCCCCTCCCCCTCCCCATGGACGCTGGTCACGCCCCACAGTCGCAGTCGTCTGACGTGCCTCGCAGTGATCTAGGCCTGGTGTGGACGTTATGAGATCCTGGGTAGACGCAGGTGTATGTCATGGGTGTCACGTTATCAGTATTTTGTTAATGATTTTGAGCATGTTAGTTTGCACGTCATTACCAAAAATACAAGCATAACTTGGCTGTCGAGTCATATCTCCAATTGCATTCCCCATGAAGACTTGTCATCTCATTGAGGGTGGAATGCTCATCTTTGACCGGAGTGGAGTGGTACTTGGTTGCGGCCACTCGGTATGGACAAATCCCCCACCAAGTAGTATTATATTTGCATACGAGCACTTTGAAAGCCAAAACTGCTCAAATAAATTACAGTATGAAAATCATTATGTCTCTTTACCAGCTCTCGTATCTTTACGTCTTCATGACTTATAATTCACCGCTGCCAAACTATGTCCTGCACATAATGGTTCTTACACCTATACCTTGCCAACCTCGTCGTAATTGCACCGTTTACGACTCGGTGACTGTACGCGCCCTTTCCAAGACCTCTAAGGCCATAATGTTCTCCATACTATGACTGACGTTATATCGGCCATCAATTAGTGGTCACGTCGCCATGTAAGCGGTCCGCTCTATTTATGTGTGCAGTTATGTCATGTACAGCTGGCAATTATGCGCAACTGAAATTGGTAGCCGTGGCCGGCAATTGTATACGGCTGAGATCGGTACCTGCAGCTGTGGACTCGCAAGCCTGCAGGTGGGCGCATATGCATGCTGTCTGTTCGTAGGTATGTACAGGTCGTATTTTGTGGTACAAGCATCTGCCTTTCTCCGGTAACGGTGGTGTCCCTCGTCGGCAGACTACGTGGCGGTGTTCACGTTCGGCCTTCTGCTGCTGGTGTCCGTGAGCGTCTCGTGCGTGCTGTGGCTGCGGCAGCCGGCGGCCGGTCGGGCGGCGACCGAGCGGCGTGGCGAGCGACGACGTCTGCTGCCAGAGGGGCACGCCGAGCTCCAGTACGGCACCAGTCACCAGGCGCCGCCTTCCGCCTGAGAACCGCCCTGCTGTGGCGGTCACTCCCCGGAGCCGCCCCGCTGTGACGGACACTCCGCGGAGCTGCCCCGCTGTGACGGACACTCCCCGGAGCCGCCCCGCTGTGGCGTACACTCCGCGGAGCTGCCCCGCTGTGACGGTCACTCCCCGGAGCCGCCCTGCTATGACGGACTCTCGCCGGAGCCGCCCCGCTGTGACGGTCACTCCGCGGAGGTGCCCCGCCGTGACGGCCACTCCCGTCACTAGGGAGTGGCTCCCGGTGACGGGCACTCCCCGTCACCGGGAGCCGCTCCGCTGTGACGGCTACTCCCCGCAGCCACTCCGCTGTGACGCCCACTCCCCGGACCGGCCGCTGTGACGGGCATGCTGGCCTGGAGTGGGCTGTTCTCAAACGCCACTCGGCTCTTCGCCGAGTCAGCTTTGTCGTCTGTGATGCCAGCCACGTTTCTCCTGCGCGAAATTGTGGCTGAATGTACCCTGGACTCGGTCTCGACATGCTTCATTCCTCGATGCGATCTTGCGCAGTCGTCGGCGCGCACTCCTGATATCCGGATCCCAGCATGAGACCGAATCCAGAGCAGAGCCTCTGCCGCCGCTTGCAGATCGTCTGCCATATTGACAATATCCTCTGGGCTGTGGGCATGGCTTGGTGGGGCGTTAGCCACCCGCCGGGGTCGTGTGCTGCGCTGCGCGCTTGTTAAGCTACGTTATACGCGAAGCTGTACCCGCTGCCCGTAGCGAGTTTGGATAACTAAGCGTCGTTGGCTGGGTCGTGTTGCCTTCGTGCATAGCACGGGACACCTGTCGGCTATGCAGGCGTGCTGTGCTGGACGGGTGTCACCTGCGGGGCACGCGTGTGTGTGCTGACGCTTTGGTACGTCGTCATCAATACGCCTTTCTCCGCCGCGGTCTTCCGCTGTTGGGATCGTGCTCAGTCAGCGCAAAAAGTCATGTCATCGTCTTACATTGAGGTGCACATGTGGAACATAAGAAATGAACTGCATAGTCAGCACGTGTCCGTATCGTTTCGTAAGCGGCACAGGTGATATGTTTGTCCGCACGTAACGCTCCATGTTGACACATCTGTTACGGTACGCTTCAGGGCTCACGTCTGGATGTAGGCACGCATTCGCCACGGTTGGATACTGTGTTGTGGTCTGTACCCGAAAATGTTATGGAGTGCGCAGTGTGCTGTCGGAGTCTGCCCTCGCCGAAAGACGCGGCTGCTCGCCGATATATTCATTTGATTCGTTGCGGATTTCAGCGCGCTTCAGGCGTTTAGCCTAGGCGTTTTAGTGCTTAGAGTCCAAGATGTGTCGGTTTTCGTAGTGGGATTGGTGTATGTCAGAGCTGGTTGTATATCAGAATGCATTATATATCATAGTGCCTTGTATATCACAGTGGCTTGTAAGGGTTTTTATACTTGTCTGTTCATGCAAAGCAGTATGTCGTCGCGTTGGTTTCCTCTATGACGGTTGCAGTTTAGCCTGCTTGGCCGACGGTACAGCTTATGCCGGACTGGGGAAGATGTATGGGACCATTGTCTGATTTGTCGTCCGAGGTGATGCATTTTATGTTCGGACAGGTGTGCCACAGCAGTTTTGTTCGACCAAAGCCACACTGGGGAGCTCTGCTCGTCTGGTGCTGTCGTCCAAGATGTTGACGCATTTATGTGTGAGAAAGGCGAGCTGTTCGGGCCGATGGTCAGAGACTGACTTGTGGTAGGTGAGGTTCACGGTGTGATATTCTGTCTGTCTCACCAGCAGTTGTCAGGGTCGTGACGGCTATCTAGAGCTACTCAAAGATCCATCTCGCGGAGCTCTTGGTAATACATCGCGAAAGGAACAATCTATCCCGACGAAACCGAGGCTGCAGCACTGTAGTCCAAAGGGAGTTGTCTCTGTTTTTTTTCTCGTTCCTTTGCTGCTGTGTTGTAACGTTTGCATGTAAGGCCTGTGTTGTCACTGGGACCGCGCGCTGCAGCTCCTCGGTTAAGACGCCTGAATACGCCGGCGAGCCCAGATTTGCAACACCTGTCCCAACCGAACGTCGCAGGTGATTTTGTCTCGGAGAGTGGGCTCCCAGCTCAAAGTACGTCGTGCCAAATGATGGCATGAAGTTGATGGAGCGATTTGCCTTTCCGGGTGCTTGATTCCATGTTAGTGAATTACGAAATGTCCGTGAACGTGTACGGAAATTATGGCCAGGTGGTGCATATGAAGGTGCGGTAAGAAATATTCGCGGCACCGTTTCTTTTATGGGATCTTGTGCGTTGACAGCCTCTCTAGCGCAAATAACCCTACAGGTGCCAATCATCAGCTATGGTATGGATTGTCTGCCGATCGAGCCCTTCAGCAAGCTGTCTACCGGGAGGGGGAGCAGTACTTGACCGACTTGTAAAGCGTGGGTGTGGGAACGCTGGTGAGAGTGTTAGGACTCAGGAGAGTGTTGTGGTGAGTGTTAGGAGACAGGAACGCGGCCGTAGTCTTGGTAAGGGGGCACATGATTGACAAAGGGCCTCCTGATGGTGAAAGCCCCCCCCCCCTCCAGAAAATATCACCGGACATGTTATTTCATCAATCACATCAATTGTCGTATTGCGTGGATTCTAGGGATATTGAGGATGCCGTGAACGCACAATGTTACTCGAAATGGGGTCAAAATGTTATATTTACATGACCAACTTATGTTTGTCGGGAGATGTCCAGCCTGTGTTCGGAAAGAAGCAGCTGAGGAAGATCATGTAAGATAGCTATGGGACACGCGCGAACGCAGGCCTTCGAAACGAAACCCCGACGTCCGGCATTGCAGTCTCCACTGGGCTGCACCGCGTACGGCCAGCGGCTAGAATTAGCGGCGGTCGCCGGGCGGACGAAAACGATGGCGTCTATTAAAAAGTATTTTTGAATGCTTTAGGCCATCAATGACAACGTTATGAAGGTAGTCCTGGCGTGCATTTCGCCTGTGCGATATTAAGATTGATAATAATAGGTTTGAACGATTGAATGTATTAGGTTTTACGGTACCGCGAAACAGTACTGGTATCTAGTGGTATATATATATATATATATATATATATATATATATATATATATACGGATGGATCCAGGATTCCGTCAAGAGAAGAGGGCCACGCAACATTGTGGGGCCCCAGAGTTTAGGGACTTCCCGAAAACATTCGTTCTTTGGCCATCAGATTTTAAGTTTCTCAGCACGTTGTTTTCTTCACGGGAACCCATCTTACTGTGCGCGGCTCTAAGAAATAGGCGTGCTACGGATGCGCACGCATGGAGCTGATTAGTTTTCTCCAGATCATGGTGAATCCTGTCATTTTGAGGCTAGGTATTTCGGAAAAAACATGCAAAATAAGTTAAAGTTTACTGCTAAACACCATTCAAATCAAGCAAGAACTTGATTTCTAGCTTACGGCTCACCGGCTGGTTGATGTGCTCAGGGGATGTCATGTGGCTGATGCAGAGCTTTTGCTTTGCTATGAAGGAGTACAAATATCCTAGCACTTAAAGGTATTAAGAACGTGATGAATAAGCATAAAAGGCGCGGTAATTTCTATAATCGCCGGAATTGACACGTAGGACGCCGGCAGGCGATCCCTCGAGCGATTTTTTGTGCCCGAGAGGGTGAACAGCTGGGGCCCCCGGCTAGTGCATAATGCTCGCGGTTAAAATATGAAATATCCAAGACGTAATCTGGAGGGCCCCAAACGATCGAGTAGGCCAGAGCAGGTCAACAGACAGGGGCTCCGACAAGAGCGCAGAGCCCTCCACTCTAATAAGAAGCACCTATGACACAATGTAGATGGCCCCCAAACGATTGAATGGGCCAGAGCGGGTTAACGAACAGGCCCCCGACAAGAGCGTAGCCCCCCCCCCCCCATTCAAATAAGAAGCACCTAAACCCTAATAGCATGGGTGATCCCCTAAGACCGAGTGTGCTCAAGCAGACTATCAGATGACCTCCGACAGGAGCGTATGCCTCTACATTCAAATAATAAAAAAAACAGCCTGCAGGGTCCCCAAGCGATCTAGTGTACCGGTCACGTTAATTCGGTGGGCTCCGAACGACCGAGTGCGCCCAAGCGGGTTAACAGGTGGACCTCCGACAAGAGCGTGGGGCCTTGAGCAAGTGACAGAGAATTGGAAGGGCCCTAGAGCAGTGAAGAGGACCCATGGGCGTATCGTAAGTGTGTCGGTAGATCAAAATCAACGTGAAGGGCCCCTGAACAACCGAGAATATCTCGGCAGGGTAACATATGTGGCCCCCGGCTATAGCCTACAGGGCCTTTCGAGCAAATGGACAGAATTAGTGAAAGGTCCCTGATAGACAAGAGTGTCCTGGCACGCCAGCAGGAAAGGCCCAACAACAACACATTTGCCCTCCGAGCAAATGCAACGAAATTGGGGGCAACGTAGAAAGCTCATTAACGATCGGATTCTTCATGCAAGTGGACATATTAACACCCCCGGAAACCGCGCAGGTTCTCTGGACAGCGTAATGAGTCTAAATACCTCCCAATCACCACCCTCTCAATCATTGAAGAATAGTTATTATCTACTCGTGGGCCTTCCACTTTTGCTTGCGGCTGTTCTCGGTCGCCTTGAAGCTCAAAGACGTTCAATTCTGTTGCGTTTTGTTTAAAAGACTGCGTCTGTTTGGCCGGCTACGAACCCCCTTTCGGGGCCCAGGGGAGACCATGGTCCCGTGGCCCGTCTCTGGATCCGCCGCTGTTTATATATATATATATATATATATATATATATATATATATATATATATATGGAACATCCTCCTAGTAAAAACTTTGTGGCAAGGACAGCAGACAACAGTACCACTTATGCAATTTTCAACGTTTCGATGGATTGCGTATCATCATCAGGATGGTGGTACATGATAGTACAAGTTCGGTCAACCTAAAACGGAATATTGGATCATCAACCAACATCGCTCGACATGACAACGGTTGCAGTTGCAAAATGAACGCGACCTCTCTGCGCATAAACAGGATAGATTGAAAAATAAAAAGTCTGGCGACTGCCGGACAGCAACGCCAGATGCGCCTGCCCAGCTCAAAGCGTACACCTGCCGAAGGGGTAGGACTCGTATCCAGGTATCGACACAATAGGGCCCAGATACCGACAGGTACCCAGGTGCCGACACAGGTACCGACACATTCACGATATATCTATGGGCCCTCTTCATTGGTCTAGGATCCTTCCAACTTCTTGATAGACTCTTCCTGACGATGAATTCGTTTCTTTAGATTTTCGCCTCGATTTTCGATTTTTATTTAGTCGCGTGTTTTTGTCTTTCAAACTGTTCTTTTTATGTGCAGAGAGGTCGTATTCTTTGTGGAACTGTAACCGCTGTCACGCCGAGCGATGTCGGTTGAATGTTCTAACATTTTATTTTCATTTGATTGAACTTGTGCGATTGTACTTGTGATAATGATACCCAATGTATCGAAACGTTGAAAACTACATAAACGGTACTCTTGAGTACTGTCCTTGTCATAAAGTTTTTACTTCCTATATACATACATACTTTTATATATATATATATATATATATATATTTTACATGCATATATATATATATATATATATATGCATGCATATATATATATATATATATATATATATATATATATATATATATATATATATATTACATGCATATATATATATATATATATATATATATATATATATATATATATATATATATATATATATATATATATATATATATATATATATATGCATGCATGTATGTATAGCCCGCACCCCTCAGTGCGTCCCTTTGAGGAGCATGCGCGTCTGCCGCACGAGATCACATTCAAGCCTCATCAAGCGGGCCACACTAAATGCTCTGGCAGGTGCACGCTTTGAGCCCACCAGACGGATCTGGTGCTGCTGTCCGGCAGTCACCAGACGTGGCTCACCTACTCTTCGGCCCGGCTGGAGCGCTGCGCGCCAAACGCATCGAGCCCACACAAAACCGGGGTGCAGACGTCTCTGTGGGCCGCGTCGGGCTGCCCGTCAAATTCCACAGGTCCGGCCACGTCGGGATCGCATGAGCGCCACAAACGAATTCCGGCTGGGGAGCTGAGTACCTAGCCAGCATTTGGAAAGAAACTCTCCATAGGTACACTTTTTGCACTCCCTTCTTGTGTTAATATCTAGCCATGCGTGATCGCGCTGTCTCACCACCCGGAAGATCAAAATGTGTGACACATAGCACGATGTTTAAAAAATATCAAGCCTAGCTCCTGACACGAGGTAGCTATATGACACCTCACACTTGGAAGCTACCAAAAGGACGCCCGAAATCAGTAGAAGACTTAACGTCAAGGTATTCCTTTAAGGTCAGGGACCTTGCTTGTCTCCCAAATGCTGACGTAGTTCCGCAAAATTAATTGGGGAAGCTGAACGGGAAAAGTGACTTAACGTCCCCCAGAAAAAGCATAAAAGTGGATTATTCACCGGTTTTGACTCCTTCGCTTTTCAAAATTGGAGACGGGAGCTCGATTCCTACCACTCCCCAACTGAACAGGAAGCGATAATCCAGGCTCCCAGAATATGTAAAGCTTTTCCATACGCCCTCAGATAACAAGAGTGATGATTACTTTTTTGCTCTTCAGGTAACAAGAGTGAGATGAATGCCTTGTTTCTGAACATCGTAATAGAAATTGTTGATCATTGTTGCTGCCGAACATTGTAGCATTGCCACCATGTCATGACCAACGATGGATTAACATGAAAACGAGAATTTTCCAATATCCATAAACCTGGCTAACACGATTCGAAGCGGGGTCCAGATCTA